GAGTCCACTCTGTAAATGCATGTTGGTCGTACTTGAGTCTAGATGAATTCCTCTTCGGTAGCTGAGCCTGGCTAGCCATACGCCATGCGACCAGCATGCGGCCGCTGCCTGCATGCGGCCCGTACCCCGTACTGGTATGCAATCACCAAGCTCAGGCAGGGCAAGACACCACAGTGAGGCATGCGCCAATGGCTTGGAAAAAAAAAAAGAAAACACTAGACTAAGAAGCCCCCCCCCTCCCCTCTCTCTTTTTTTTTTATTAACTTCTGGCGATTCTCTGTTCGCGTAATCATGGTTTTGTTGTCACACGTGGTGGGATGGGCCTTAAAATAGGCAATCAAAACAATTAAAACACACTAAGCTACAAGGAAGATTGCCCGTGGCCTAGAGCAGTACATCACGGGGACACTAAGGAGTGCATGTCTCATCAAAAAGCCTGATGACACTTGATCTATTCAAAACGAGGGGTCCTGCCGAAAGACAGCAAGGAGAATCAAAAGAGAAGGCAAGAAGCAACGTTTAATCTATGTATATAAGATATGTGTGTCTCATTACACGCTGATAGTGGAGGTTGAAGAGCGGGCGGGCAAAACAAGAGTGGACTTTACGCGTGTACCGTTGAAAAAACAGAGTCACTTACACAGGTACTCAGAACCAGTCTACAGACGACGGAGTAGACGATGGAAGAAAAGGGCTGGCACCTTGCACGCTGATCTTTGCTTCTATTATTGGCCATGATGTAATGTTCATTGTGCTTTGCAGATTGTCAAAACGCAATCCCGATGACACGGAGTTACCTAGGCTCGTTTTTTTTTCTCCCCAAGTTGGCTAGTGTCCTCCTCGAGCGGGAAGTTAAAGTGGCGTTGAACTCGGGCACAAAGTGGTCGGCAAGCAGCTTCGGAGGTTCTAAATAAGCCGGCTGGCTGGTACGGAGTATCCGTACAGGGTCTAACTACGGATTAGACTAGTTACTATTTACTGCTAAACAGAGGGACCGATCAAAGCGCTGCCACGCGAGCCCTGTGCCCTTTCCCCTCATGCTTCCCTCCTAAGGCTGCTGCATGCGCAGGTAATTATCGTACAACCCTCCTTGTCGTTTTAATTTTTTTTTCCTTCCGTGGCTGGCAGACCTTGTGTGTGGCAGTAAATCATGGTCAGAGGAACCCATCAGCACCTTGATCACACGAATGATGGCCTTTGATTTGTCTGACCCTCTCTTCAATATAGGGTGCCCACATTCATCAACAAGAAAGGGAAAAGAGCAAGCTGGTGACCCGAGCGCCTCGAACGCGGCGGCTCAACCCGCTCTGGCCCATGGCAGGCGGGAAACACACGTTGTGGTGGTGTAAGGTAGCTTCCGTATAAGGAGAGAGCTTCTTGGTAATGTTTGGCCTTGCGCCCTCTGATTCGTCACCCAGATTTTCTCGTGTCGTGCAGCATGGGATTCTTTTGCAGCCGCCTCTCTCAGCTGTCATGATTACCTCCATTTCTTACTGCGTACAAGATTACAAAGGGGGGTCTGGAGCAACCCTTGGTAAAGTCGGGGTCCGTTCCCCCAGCTTGGCTTCATCAAGCCACAGCCCCCACTAGGCTGGGTCAGCAACGTTATGCACGAGGAGAAAGAGCGCAAGAAGAAAGAGCGCGAGAAGAGAAGAGCAGTTTTTGACGAGAATTACTGGCAGCTATTTACATGAATCATGGCAGCAAGTGAGATTGAGCTCTTTTGTGTGGTGTGCATGCGCGCATGTGTGCAAGGCTACGATTAGTATCCGTAGGGGCTCTGTACTTGATGAGACAGCGGAGCAGCACAAAAGGTATGAAAAGGTACGGATACTCCATACCTAGGTGGGAAAGGGTCCAAGAGGCAGGTCATCATGAATTCATGATCGCCAGCCACGCAGAAGCAACTCTCTCTCTCTCGCGAGTAATACAGAGAGCGCCAGCTTTCTTGTGTGGGGGTTCCAAGAGGACCAAGGGCACTGCCACTGGGTCAAGCATAAAAAGTGTCTATTGATTGGCGTATTCGTAGGGACCGGGTTCGGAGTGGAGGATAAATCTCGACAGCGGGGAAGCAAGCAAGAAGCAGAAATCCAAACTTGCTGATACTTAACTAGGATACCCTAATAATTGATCCGTGGGAGATTTATTAATAACCAGGCACCATTTGCGCCGCGGCCCGTGGGAACCGACCAAGTTGGTCAATTGGTTCATTATAGTTAGCGGCTAACAAGAGACAGGCACACCTTTTGCCAAGGACCGGGGGGGCGGCACACTCCCCTTTTGGCTCATTGCCTTTGTCCCAACCAATGATGGATGGACAACTTGGTAGGCATCCTGCATGAAAGGCACAAAGGGGACACACACGTGCATCGCGGGAGGCGGAAACGGCGGAGAGGGAGGAGCGGAACTGATTGGTGGTGAGATCTGGTGATGGAGGCATGTATACGGGCTGGCCAAGGTATATAAGATGCGATGAGGAATCTATTGAAAAAAAAAAAAATAAGCAAAGAGTGTAATATTTCTCAAGCAAAAGGAAATAGGGACAGGAGGCTTTCGACATGGCTGGAAATGTAATGCAACATTGTCCGGCAGTACGTATGATTAGAGTGTAGAGGTGCAGAAGCACTGAAGATGGGTGGCCTCGTTTAGGTACTTGTAGTGCAGATGGTGACGGCGCTGCAGGGTCTACAGCGGCAAGTTACAGCAGATGGAGTGCCTGCAGCAGCAGAGCAGCCGGCGGCAGACAAAACTGTTCCTGTTGGCGCACGGGTGAATTGAGATGAGGCTGGTGGATATTTTGCATGAATGAGTTTGGGTTTGGTTTTATTCATTTAATTTCTATTTATATGTTATTTTTCATGTTTTTTACTTTCAACACAGGCCGCTTTGGAATATTCTGGTTGTCGTGGTTCAACGACAGCCGAGGAGCTTCGGACACCCGGGTAATTGGTAGGCAACGTGTTAGTGACTGTGTCCGTGCACAGCAGAGCATGGGGCTGGGCAGACTGGCAATGTCGTGACTAATAGTGATGCAAAAGTCAAAGAAGATAATTTCTCCGATGCCGCTCAAGATTAGACAGTGATACTAATGAGGGAAAGTGTTGACGAGGTTGTAAAGGTCCCCAGCAAACGACTTCCGTAGCAGCGCCATGCCCATTGTCGTCCATTCCATTCCAGGATCATCAGTACCGAGTCAATACGGAAAGGGCCGGTCAATAGGTGGCCGAAACAGCAAACTCAGGTATTATAAAACATTTGCGGCGGCGGCCATTTTCCGCAAACGTTTTTTATTCAAAATTATGCCCGTTCGACGCCACGGGGATTTGCGTTGCACATCTTTGTTCTTTGGCCCCGCCACCCGGTGTACCTGGGCTGGTACCTGGCTAGCTGGTTTAGGTGCGCTGTTCATCGTCAGGTACCTAACCACTCTCAGCAACTACTGATAACCAGGTGAGCGGCAACCCCTCCCCTTGTCGCACCGCATCGGCGAGTGTCTTGATTGAGTAGCCTCGCTCCGTTCCGGCCGCAATTTTATTTTAGAAAGGCATCTGACAATGGGAGCACAGTTTTTTGGCATTTACCTTGCCATGGCCGCAATTTCAACGCCCAAAAAACATTGTCCATGTTTAGCTTTGGTTTTTGCGCGTGCATCCGAGCTAACTCTACTTACCTACAGACTACCTGGGTACCTCCCTAGCTGGCTGGGTACCCAAGCATCGGCACTTTCCTTGGCTACCCACTGCCCACTGTAAACAACAGCGCACACACCCCCTCTTGCCCCTACAGGCTACAGAGCCCCTCTACGTAGTACCTAGGTACTAAGTAAGCCTCTAAACCATGCCGCCACCCCTCCTCCAAGCTTCCACGCCCCCCCTGTACCGGCCCTGTAGGCCGTAGTGATCCCCGTCAGGCCCCCTCCTCTTCCTTGTCTTGCTGGCCAAGAAACGAGCACTAACACAATCAGGTCCCCCCCCCGTCATTTAACTGACATGGAAAAGACACCAGGAGCACTGACATTGCTCCTCTTTATTATTCCAGCTTTTTTTCACCCATCCCTCGTACCTGCGTGCCTGTGGCCTGCATAGCTGCTTCTCTCGTGGAATACTTGGTCGTACCAGCACACCTCTTGTTACCACACACCCTCGGCCCATCCTGGCTTTCTTGCGCCTCTCTTCTTGTCCTTCCTTTAAACAGTTCCCATGCTTCCCTTGTCCCGCAAGCCTGTCTTGGAGGATCTGCAGCACGTCTCCTCTACCAGCATCCGTACTCCGTACTTTAGACTCCCCTTCTGCAGGCTCCATTGGCCGTCTGTCTGCGTTTGTTCCCACGGCTCACACAACACACCCACCCTCCCCCAGCAGGGACGCACGCACACACCTTTTGTACCAGCCAGTAGAGCACAAACCACACACCACTGCCTCGCTTTTGCGCTCTTCCACCTCTTGTTTCCCTGATCTCTCACGCACTCTGATTACTCTTCTCTTTTGCTCCTCTCTCGACAGAGCCAGCCTTGCCTCACCATATTACCCCCAGCGAGTCCCTCGATTCTCGAGCCCGGACCTCGCCTCTCTTCCTTCCATTCATGTCTGTTGCTTGCTCGCTCGCTCACACCTATTCTCTCGTTTAAACCAGCTCTCGCTTCTCGCTTCTCGCTTCTCTCATCTCGACGCTCTCGCCTTCACTCTCGCCTTCACTCTCGCCTTCGCTCTCGCCCGCGCTCCCGCTCACTTCTCACCCTACTATCGCGCCTCCGCTGTAGCCGGCCAACACACCCATTCATCTCGCTACACTCGTTACTGCTACTCCCGTTCGCTCGTTCGCTACGGTATCGGCCGTCATTTCCTTCTGTCTACTGTCGGCAAATCACAGTCAACCTTGACCTTGGCAACTCTCCTCTACGACCTGCCCAATTCTTTGCGCCAGCATCTAGTGCTCAATTAGCCCGTGACCTTGATTCATACTCGACTATCAATGTCAACGTGAACTGTGTCCGAATCGCAATGGATCAGTCGCAAAATCATCCGCTCCACGGGCACTCGTCGCCGCCACTGCCCGGACAGCAACATTCAGACTCACAGCTCGATCCCAGCGCTCAGAATGTCTTGGCCGAAGCCCGAAAGAATCTTCAGGTCCTCATCGACTCGGGCATTTCCAAGGATTTGCTTCACCAATGGGTAGAGGATAGCCCACCCTTGCAGCTCAATTTTCCAATTCAGTCCGCCCTCGCCGCCGCCCAACAATCTAGCTCTCTCCAGATCCCGCCTCAACCACAGGGCCCTCCTCCACCGCCGCCTTCGCGCTCCCCGTCGACTCTTGCCTCTCACGGTTCCTTTTCTCCCAATGCAACCGCTTCTTCTCCCTCGACAGGCTCGTCTACGCCCACTCCTACACGCGGCCTCCATCCCGAGATCAAGACCGAACCCAGACACGACACTCCAACTACAACATGGAACCCATCCATTCATGGCCCTTCTGCCGCCGCCCAATATGTGCCCATTCAGGAACAGCCCGAGAACAACGTCTTCTTACCGCCATCATACCCATACGCACACCGCACCAGGGTATCCGTTTCGTCGACTAGCTCCGGTTCCTCGGGACACGCTTCATTATGGTCCGTCAACTCGGCGCGTTCTTCCATGTCGTGGCAATCCGGCACGAGCAACCGATCCATGGGTCCACCTCTGACCTCGGCCAGTGGCGCCCCGGTGATCAACGGTTCCCAGGTAACGCCCTCGAGCAGCAATAAGCAGAACGTCTACTGGTGCACTTCTTGTGAAACTAGCTTCAAGCGCAAATACGATTGGAAACGACACGAAGACGAATTTCACGAGCGCTGGAGAAAATACCCTTGCCCTGAGCCTGGCTGCAACCGCAGCTTCTGGGGCTCCAACTCGTTTAATCAGCACCATAAGCAGTGCCACGGATGCAAGACATGCCCTCACGCCGAAAAAGTAGTCAAATTCTTGCGAAAGCGCAAGTACTGGGCGTGTGGCTTTTGTTCCGCTTTGCACCCTGCCCGCGAACGTCATGTTGAGCACGTTGCGCGCCATTTTGAGTCTGGCCTCGGCAAGAACGATTGGATGCACTCACGCGTCATTTATGGACTCCTGCACCAACCGCTCATCCATTCTGCCTGGGACACGTTGGTTGCGGAGAAGCACACTTCGTACGGCGGCCGACGGCCACAGTTCAGCTGGCATCCAAGCAAGACTGGCCGAGCACAAGGCTTCCTAGAGAAGGAGAGCCCAGGCCAGCTGCAAGACTTGCTCGAATTCTTTTCTGGTGATGAAACGGAGGCGCAGTGGATTGTCTCGGTGGCATATGATTTGGCAGATGTCGTCATGACCAACAATAGCAACGTACAGTCGCCCACGCCTTCAACGTCCCAGCAGACAGCCGGCTCTCAGCAACAACCGCAGTTCGCCCAAGACAACTCCTTTGGCCAGTTGCAAGCGCCTTCCATGCTTCCATCCAATACACCCAGCGACCCCAGTCAAGCTGCTTTCGGCGCACCTCAGTTCCGGCCACCTAGCGTCTTCTCCACTACCAGTCAGCAGTTCCAGATTCCCCGCCAATCGCCAGAGTCATCGTCCAACTCGCCTCTTACCATGTCGCCTCCCGTGCTCGCGTCCCAAGCCAACAACTACGACAAGCGCGAGCTCCCTCCTCCACCACCCACGCAGGCAAATAGCGACAGCATGATGGACTTTGAATACTCGGCTGCACCCAGCAGCTTTGGGGACTGGGCCTCGATGACCAATTCTATGCTCGCAAGCACACCTTCGCAATCAGAACAAGGCTCTACAGCGCAGGGCGGCGACTGGGGTATGATGGGCTACTTTCCCGATCCCCGAGTCACCTCTGCGTAAGCACTTGTGACGATTTGCTCATTTACATTTGTTCCACTATATATACACCACGACGACCGCGTCGTCCTTCCTTATCTTCACGAACTCGCGAAATTCTGGGCAAGGTGTACCGCGCCTTACATCTCACATCGTTTCCACAACAAAGTTGATCAATTTTGTTGTGGAAACGCATGCCCGTTCGTTTTCCTTGATGACTCTATCGATGTCGACGTCTTGATAGACACTTGCTTTCATATCGCGCGCATACTGCTGCCTTTTCTTTTTTTCTTCTTCTTCTTTTTTTTTTTTTTTGATATACAAACTGTATAGATAATGACTAATATCCGCTGCGCTTTCAGGGAAAGATGGGCCGGCTCAGGATGTTTCTTTTGCTTTACTTGATTTGACAAAAGTGCGTGGTCTTTACCTTTTTCTTTGTTTTGGATTATATAGCACACTACTTACTTTCATTGGGAGGTTATTGTGATGTTTTTGCTCCAACTTGTCTGCTTGTTTAGCACTTGGGCCTGTGAGCTTCTTGGTAGAATGCAGGCGAATCTTTTTCTTCTTGTATATTAAGCAGATAGATGGATCTTATCAAATAAGATTTCCGACAACTTCGTCCCCTCTGTGTGACTTGATCTGCTTGGGCGGGCCGGTTTGATGTTGGCAAGAAAGATGACAAGTGACGCCCCTTGTTGTTTGTTTTCCTTGCGCCCAATAGTCGACTTCTATTCGTCTTCGCATGGCGGCACACCTGACCTGGGATTAGCAGGTACTTACTTTTCATGCCTCAGACCACTGTTAGGCTGCAAGGAAAATAGGCTTCAAAGTCAAGACGCGTCAGGGATGACTCATTAGGCTGCTATAAATACGACGAGATGAAGCCAGGCTTCCTCGAACCCGACATCCTCCTCAACAACACCTCTTGATGCATATTGTACATTCGTACGCGACTTTTATATTGCATGTCAAGTGCATCTTTGCAGCCCTTGATTAGGACTCTGATACCACCTCTACCTGAAAGCCCGATTTTGACGCCTACCCCTTCACTACATCACCAACGCAGAGCAGAGATTGCAGCCTAAATTACCCAGGAGAAAAGAAACAAAATGCCCGATCCGAGAAGAGATGCTCGATCTACGTGCCTCTACTTTGGTCTTGTTAGAACACGGGCTGCTGGTCCATCGCGAGTGCCCCCTTCACACGGACAGCCATCATCGCAGCAGACTGGTGCTGGACCGTCGCGCTCTCCCGCCGCCGCCTCCAGTCGACAGCCTGACAGCAGACGCGAGACAGGGCCCCGCGATTCTGAACGCGTCGAAGAAGTTGAATTTCGTCAGTTTCGCTCGCAACACCACAGAACTAGCAATGGCGAAACAGAAAGTCGATCAGAATTCAAAATGGCTTATATCAGGACCAGGGACGTGAATACATCAGCTCAAGACCGAAATGGTTCTCGTCCAGAAAACGCGGTGCCGACTAGGACGACTGCACCGCAGCAGTCTACCAACACCGCAGCGCCGAGACCACGTACCACGACTCCCTCGCATGTTCCCACGAGGACTGCTCCGCCGCCGCCAGTGTCACGAGACGCCCGCGCTCTTCCTGCTCCTCCGACGTCGAGACCACGTACCACGGCTCCGCGCATGCTCCCACGAGGAATTCTCCGCCGTCGCTAGTGTTACGAGGCGGGACGCGTCACGTTGCTTTTGCAAATCCGTCATCGAAATCTGCAGAATCGAAGCACCACCATGTGCCACCCGCAGCAGCTGGGCCCAGACACCCACGCATGCCACCGCCAGGGTTCGTGATAGGCGAGGTGGACGAGTAGCACCGTGTCGTGAGCGCCATTGACGGTGGTCCCGGAGAGCCCGGTTGGCAGCTGGGCAGTGAATATGGCAAATGGAACGTCGAGGGAGAGAGGAAGTCATTTATCGAGGCAAAGTGGCAGCAGGCATTAATGGGCAACTACCAGTCGAGCATCTCCTTATTGCTGTTTATTTCCAACTTTTGTCTGGGGTTTTGAGAACGTCTTTTACCACTTCCACACCAATATCAAGTGGCCAAGTGGTTAGTGGTTAGTGTGGTAGTTTTCGACATGTTCTGCCACGTTTTTTTATGAGTGTACCCGTGAGAGCTTGAGCAATTAGATTGTTTTTGAGACTTTGTGAGATAGACTTGATCAAAAGAGAGGGAAATAATATACTTGAGTACGGATCAGTGCTGATTGACACCTATATTGTGCCGACTGGTCTCGGCGGTATCTGCAGAGTGCCGGTAGCTCGCTTATGATTAGTAGACTGCTGCGGTGCAGTCGTTTCATTCAAACGTTCTGCAAACGTGTGCCCTTGGGCTGTCATCAACCACAGCATGGCTGGATATATGTCACGGCGCCTTCTGTCCGTGTTGTACGAATAGGAGGCGCACTGAATATGCGCCACCGTCTCACCGGAGGAGGCATGATCAGTTGCGCTGCATAAATGGTGTCGCCCTTTTAAATAAATTGCTGGTCCCATCAAGCGCCCAATTTTGAAAACGCTGCCCGTGCGCTAACTAAAACGATTGGCAGTCAGTGTACGCAGGTCGCGTCGCACAAGCTGCTGCATGTCTCTATCCATGTCACTTGCTTGACCGGAGAAAACAAAATGGTCGTCTTGAGTTTTGGGGGTGGGAAATGGCTTGCCGACTAGAATCCAAAGGCTTACATACCCTCTATAGGTGCAGCAATAATGACAAAGCTGACTGTACATGGCTTTTCTCATGTTTCTATAATCACAATACCGCCAACACCGGGCTACCAAATACACTTTTATTGCTCATCAGCATTTATATCATGGCAAATCCAGCTTGTTCCAGCTCTTGTCCAGTGGGCAGCATCGGCCGTCCTTGCATAGGAAAGGGCCAGAACAACGGGTTCTCAATATTGTCGACAGCGGCCTGCAGCCCCGTGCCCTGACTTGGAGACGGCAAGTTGGGGTCGGCGACTATGCTCGCCTTCCCCCAGCGACATATGAAATCTTCCGCAGTGAAATTCGGCGCAAAAAAGTTGAGACTACTAGTGTAGGGCTTGAGAAGCTTCTCGTAGTCGTCGGGTACGGGCTTGTTGCTGCTGCCGAATTCCACTTCGATGTTCCATTTCTTGGCCAGAAATCGCAGGATGTTGAGAGCTTGCTCGGCAAAATGGTGGCAGGGCGCCATCTCGGCCAAGTCCGCAATACCTTGGGCCAAGGAGTCTGATGCGTGTGGGTCGATTTTGGCGCTCTCGCCCATGGCGTCGCTGCCGCTTAGGTCAGATGAAACCTTGGTAGCCCCGATGGCAAGGTGCATGATGGTCGAAGTGAGCACAAAGTACGGGACAAACGTCGGTGTCCGCCGCAGCGTGTATAGTTGCGAGTACGACTTGAGCAAGTTTTGAATGGCGTCGGCGGCTTGCGAGCAGACGTCTCGTGGGGAAACTTTGGATCCGATGATGCGCAACTTGATCAAGGGCCGGAAAAGAAGTAGAATAGCAAAGTGATAATACATGCTGCCACAAGTTAGCTAGATAAAAAGGCGACAAGCAAACGAAATCCTACTGTGCAAAAAGTACTGCCGGAGTAAAGTTATGGCCCAACCGCAACGACTCCGGTATCCTATCGTACCAGTTGAGGTACTGGGTATAAATGCTGAGTAGCTCTCGCGCTGTCAACGGTTTTCCGGGAGAGTGGAGCATATAGAGGGATTGATGGACGAGCTCGCTCAGTTCACAAAAACATTTGTACACGGATCTGACATTCGATGGTTGCTCGCATGATCGCTGCAGAGGTGCGCCTGAAATTATTAGCAGGCGTAGACAAGAGATTCAATAATGATGCTCACCATTGTCTGTATAAGGAACCCATAAGGACGCCTCGATGTCGGCTATGATGCCCGGCTTCATCGGTAGCCGGGCAAAGCAGGAACTTTGCGGAAGGGAGCCTGTGGCAAGAGACCAGGCGCTGCAACGTGTGAGACAGGCAGACACAGAGTGTAAGGAGTGACATACTGATCGAGAGCGAAAGCGCCCCAAAATGTGGCGGACTGTACAGCCATCTCGTCGAGATCGGTGTGTTCCCGTGAGAGATGCAAGCCCATCTCAATAGCCAACCGGATACTCTGGCCAGAGTAGTACCAACTTTCCGAGTCTCTACCACAGCTAGCCTCGCGGATAGACATGATGCCCAGCGCCTGGATGACCGTGAGCGAGTGCTGGTCCGTCTCGGCATTAAGAAGCCGGAGAGCCTCCTTGAAAAAGTGGTCGCCCGATGAATATGGATCATTAGGGAATTCTCTGGTTTTAGGTTGTGTCGAGAAGCGGCAGCCTAAAGCAAGCAGCGCGTTGATGAGAATCGGTGAACAGTATCGATGGCGTCCGTCTTGAAAGTCCCGGAGAAAATGCTCCTTGCTAAGGGAAGCGAAAGTGGGGTACTCCCAGCAAAAGTACAGGGCGAGTAAATGATGGACCAAGTTAACGTCGCTAGTAATGCTAGTCCAGGTACCAGAAGAATGGCGCTGCATTTCGGGGTCACTCAAAGGCGAGAGGACCTGCTCGAGACCGCGAAAGCGCGGCAGCTGGCTTTCGGGGGCGGGATCTGTCTCCATGTTCTCGGCCCAATATCCAACGCGCGTCTGCGGCGGACCGTGAAGCTCAGAAGCCATGCTTCTAGCGTCGGCAAGAGAGTTGCTTCTTGTGGATCCAGTAGCTGTGGGATCATGCGATGAAAATTGCCAGGGGCTGGATTGCCTTAAATCGCTGTGGAAAGGTGCGTGCGGCTGCGAAGGGCTCAGGCTCATGGAAGCCATGCCATGGTGTCCTTGGCCATAGTCATCAACAGACATAATAGGGCCACGGGAAGTGTCACCGGCTGCCATGTTGGTATCCCCAGTCTGGTGATGTGGAAGAGAATGGCCCTTTGTGCTGGTCCGTTCAACGTCCGACGCTAGGTTGCTGCCGAGCCAGTCGGATATGCTGTCGACGGACTGGCCGTTGCGCAGCCGACCCAAAACATCTTCCCAGAGATTCGAGCGGACAAGGGCGGAAAAGACCTGATTGCTAGATCGTTGGCGGTGACGCAGCTGCTCAATTTCGGTGCGAAGATTTTCTTTAGATTGGCGAACGGGCATTTCGTAGACGCACTCAACTTTCTGGGCTTTGCAGCGACCGCAAGGGTTGCTGCCATCGCACTAACGTTCTATATGTTAGCGTACAGTGTCCGCGAGTATGCCACGTAGATGCGCTACAGTGAGGTTTTTGCATCATTGGAAATGCTGGTATGGAATGGCAATCAACATCCGAGCACGTTCTTACCTTGGCGCGCTTCTTGCGGCATTCCGTGCACGCATTTGGCGTGACAATTCCCAACCCACGACGTCGTTTCGAATTTTGTGAGCTGTGAGCGACCGAAGAAGTAGACGATGGGCGGGCGATCGGCCGCGACGAAGACGAGGAAGATGGGGGCTGGGGGGTGGCGGCAGAGGCCGAATCAGAGCAGCCCTGGGGCGTGCTGCCGGTCGAGGGCTTGCTCGGACCGGACGGAGTACTCCCGCTGCTATCATTATCCATCAGGACAGAAGGAGAAGTTTATGGCCGGCCGGCGCGGCAGACGAAGTAAAACGGCAAAATCCGTTGTTGGGGCTGACAGACCTGGCGTATGTGGTCGCAACGGAGAGGCGTGGGAAGACGGCACGTCGAGCCAAGATATCGACATGAGCCGTCGAGATCACTGCAGCTAAAAGACGACTTGTTGCGCAGAAGCTTTCAGCGCAGTCGGGCGTGATGCGCGAATGATGTAGACAGCTAGGTATGGCTGTGAAGGCGTCGTAGGTCATCCCCGTAAGTAACAAGAGCAGACGGGAGCGGTCGAGATGGTGGCGAGCGTGGATCTGATATCTGTTATACAATGCTGACGGGTTCGACCGATGAAGAATCAATTGGTGCGCGGCTGATGGCAAGTCGCAGGTGAGGCAGCCAAAGAAGCGAGCTGCAGTTTGGTGCTTTGAATGTCGCTGTTTGCAGGGCGGGGGTTTGCGACCATGACGATGGAAGAAGCTTTGGGAATGGCAGGGCGGCCAAGGTTTTGGCGAATCTCAGAATGTAGGTATCAAAGCTGCAATGATACACTATCAGGGGAGAGGGAGCAAGCGCGATTGGGTAACTGTTTGGTTTGGAGTAGGTGATGTGAATGGGTGGTGCAAGTTGCGGCGCAGCTCGGGGAAGTAGGTTGGAAGAAAGGTACCTCGCTAACGAGCCCGGGTACCTAGGAAGGCAGAGGTAGGTAGGTATGTGGGGAGGTGGTTTTATGACGCGAGAAGTACTCTCAGACAGCCGGTGCAAGACTGATGCGCCGTCAGTTTTGAGAGACTATTCTGAATGGGGAAGTGAACCAGAGCATCCCTGCGAAAGTTCAAAAGCCCGAAAGTAACCAAAGCTGGAACTTGGTCCTTCTGGAAAAGGCAGCCAGCTTTCTCAGGAGCAGGGGTGTTTGTTTTCGCCTGCTTGTGAACCACCACCAACCATGGAACGGAGAGGAAGAAAGAGAGAAGAGAGTGCAAGACATGGAAACTTGCTACGCATCGAAATCCCTTCCCAGTCTATCAAGACATTTTGGCTCTATCATGTTGCGAGCCAATCGATTAATAGCAACGTCAAATGTAGATCCCTGTGCTATAGACGAGTGTTATAGACCTTCTCCGAATCATTCTAGCTAAGGTATAAGAGCAACTCCTTATTACTAACACACCATATCTTACCGTCATCGATACAGATAAATCTAGGGCCTGATCACATTGCACTTCCGTTCCGTCTGAATCTAGTCGTCGCAGTGCTGCCATTCCCCGGTGCTGACCGTAGTTACATTGCGCCTATCGTCTCCGGTAGTCGGAGTCCCTTGCAAGACTGACTCACTCAAAATAAAGAGCAGGGACCTGCATGACACACATAAAATCCAAGATTCGCTCGCCGAGTATCAGGCTCGAATAGCAGCTGATACGAAACCCGCAACGGCACTAAGAAGCGCTGGCAGCCAAGCAGCGAGGGGTACGCACCCACGCAGCCTGGTGCCAGAAATAATCAGAGGATGCCGAGACTCGGGTGACGGCCGCCACATTTCCGTTGTTAGAGGCACAAAAGAAGTACATCGAAGGCGGAGGATCATTATCATGCCACGTTATTGTGGGGTTCGATTCTCATTTTATTGCGAAAGTGTGTGGCACGAGACCGAATGGCGATTAGTTTAGCCATCGTGAATCAAAAGCACAATGCTACCGAAAAGGTGCGCCTTTGTAATGATGACTTGAGAGTTATGATAGAATGATCTACTGATCCGCCCCTTCCCGCCCTCGGCATGTCATCAGGAGAGGCGCCGACGTCAACGCGTCGCACAGTGCTCAACGTCAGCGCATACCTAGGTGTTTGGGTGTCAAGTGTCAATGGTGCTTGGGTGTATGCAAGGATCTGTGCCGTCATTTTATGGAAATGGCCTTTTCAACTTTCCCACTTTGTCACTTTCTGCAAGTGATTGCCTGCCAGTGTCTTTCGCAGTTACCTTTTATGTCGTCATGGGCCTGGTTGCTCAAACCCATGCAATCTCAGCCGCAGATCTGCATACGCCGAGGTTTGCAAATCTGTAATTGGGTACGGTGATTCGGAGGGACGAAACAAGGACGATGATGAAGTAGTATGCTGCTCATTTGACAAAGTAAATAAATCTGTATGCTTTTCAAGCGCATCATGTGCCCCGTAAATCAATACACCTAGACTTGAATTAAACAAAAACAAGACACTGCTTAAAATACCAAAACGCCCTGGGCCAGTGGTGTATTTGCCCCAGTCCGTCTTTGCCCAAGCCCAACACAGAACCAACAAAAACGAGAAAATAAAAGGGCTAATAACCCTTGCTTGGACTTCGCGAGTATTTGATTGGACTCCTGGCCCGTTCGCCCTTGCTGGGACTTCTGCGCCCGCTCGGCGTGTAATGCGGCAGCATCAGCGGCGTCGAATGTGGAAGGGAACTGTCGGTATCAGATCCGTGGTCCAGCATGGCGTGACGCTTCATGCGCGGCGTCTGCACAGGCATCCACATGACATTGGATTCGTCGCCCACACCGTTGGTATTCTTCATCGATTCCCTGTTGTACGGCATCGCTTTGCCACTGTTACCGTTGCGGCCGAGAATCAAATTGTTTCCAAATACGCAGATGATGATAATTGCAAAGAAGAAACCCTATGAGTGGTGTCAGCATACTAGTCAAATATACACCGAAAAAACCTACCCATGCTTTGAAGTTCATCGCGTCAGAGAATTCATTAATAATCTCGGCAATTTGTTTGGCCGTCACCTTGACGCGCATAATCGACTCTGGGTTCTGCACCATGCAGTCATACCATTTGTCGCACTGCGACTGGAAAAACGGTTTGTCGTTGGACTCGCAAGAGTTGTCTTTCCAGTGTTTCGTGCACTCTGCGATTTTACTCATGATATCTAGGCGTGCACTCTCGTTGGCGTTGCGGATATCAGAGCGAATGGTCGACACAATGGACCAGCCAACGCCAATGACAGTCGTGGCCACCAGCATGTTGATGAAAAGCTGAATCCACCGGTGCAGGTTCTCGGGGGCGTTGGGGTGCTCGTCCAGCATGTGGAACATGGATCCAAGAAAGCCGGGCTGCGGCCCTCTGCCTAAGACTCTACTTTTCTTCAACCACTCTTCGGACCAGAAAGAGGCCTCCGTCTCGCCGCCAGACTCGTCATGGTCCTGGTAGCGCACAACGCTGCTCACGTCGCGGTCTAGGTTGTGGCGCTTCCGCTTGCCAAGGAGCGCCGAGCGTGACGAGTCCCGCGCGCTCTTGATTTCGCCCTTGCCAGAGCTGTGTTTCTTGTTATGTGAGGAGCGGCCGTAGCGTGCCGCCTTGCTGACCTTCGTCGGGGTAATGATGCCGCCCATGTGGATGTCGCCCATGTGATCCAGGTCTGGCGTGTCGTTGGGCACATCCGAGGTTTCTGTAGGAGCCGGGCTGTCCTCTGCACCAGAGACCTCGGAGAAAATGGCATCATCGTGTAGTTTTCGTGGTGTTGTAAAGGCCGGGTTGCGAAAGGGAGGGGCTGCACTTTTGGCCGAAATTTGAGGCGCAAAGCGGGTGGTGGACGGCGGCTGTGGTTTAAGTGGTGTGGAAAGGCCTGCGAATGGATTCAGACGTCCGCCTCCTTTGGAAGGAGATGAAAAGCCGCCTGAAAATTGTTAGGAGAGCTCCGTCGGCCGGCTGCAAACAAAGGTTGTCAGCTGCCGCGCGAATGGGCAAGTACACATACCGAGGCCTGGGTTTCGCTGTGCGATATGGGTAAAGGGACTGGAGGGATCACATGGCGCATTGCCACTGTATTCCCATTCCATGTGGCCTTCACCGGTGCGTGGATTCATCGTGGGCAATTGGCGAAGCTGGCCCTGGGTTATTGCTAGTACTGGAGTTGATAAACGGCCACCGTTGAGAAATTGCTGCGGCGGCGAGCGAAAGAAGCAGTCGCCTTTATTTTCCTCAGCAACCGCATTGTGGCAAGTAAACAAATAGCTAGGTATGTGGCTTGTGGAGCTGTGGCTGTGCCTGGGGTTTGCGGCGGCAGATTAGGTCAGCATTTTTCTTTAAGTCCTCTCCATCAACTGGGAGCTGGCTCTCGTTTGTATCATCACCAGAATTCCCATCAAGAAGCCAGCAGCTTGCTGTGAATTTTGTATCACTTCCGAGATTGTTAGCTTCTCCCAACACTCTTTGAAACGTCATTTGCCGACTCATCTCCACACAACACACCTCACGACAGCTGACGGCATGTCGGATCACGAGTCGCCTGCTGGCTCCCCAGCAAGAGAGGACCCTCCCGTTGATGATGGTCAAGAAAAAGAGTTTGAGAAAGAGGTGGCAGCTGCGGATTCGGACAAGGACTCTGACCTGCTATCCGAAGTCGACGAAGATCAATTTGAAGATTACGACCCCGAGACGGCCAACATTGAGGATCGGCCCGTCGACATTGATGAAGACGTCGCCCGCACGCTCAAGGTGTCAAAGCGGAAGCGCATAGAAGGGCAGCCAAAGAAACCACGCGAAGGACGACGCGAGAAGAAGCGTCGCGACCGCGATGACGACGTGACGATGGAAGACGGATCTGATGGTGACCAGGAGCGCAAGCCTCGACGCCGTAGGGCCGCTGCCGAGGGCGAGCGGGCTCCTCGAGCTCAGCGAATCAGACAGGCGTCGCCGGAGCCGGAAAATGAAGAAAACTTGACTCCGGAAGAACGGCGAAAGCGTGCGATTGACAGGGCTCTCGATGCAGCCATCAAAAAGGGCGGATCGTCATCGACAAGACGACGGAAGAAGGATGAAATTGTATGTTCATAAATACATTCGTTTGGGAACACGGCTTGCTAACTTGGCGAAACAGGATTTGGAAGACGAAATCGACGAGCAACTGGCCGATCTCAAAGTGCAGATGGAAAAGGCCTGTTTAGCTGACAACGAGGCTCGTCGCGTGGGTCAACCTGCGCTGCACAAGCTCAAGCTGCTCCCGCAGGTGAATGCCATTCTGAACCGCAACAACGTGCAACACGCGGTGCTGGACCCTGATACCAACTTTTTGCTGCATGTCAAGTATTTTCTGGAGCCGTTGAGCGACGGATCGTTACCGGCGTACAACATCCAGCGCGACTTGTTCACAGCGCTGACCAAGCTTAACATTGAGAAGGAGGCGCTTCGCAGCAGCGGAATTGGGAAGATTGTGCTCTTCTATACCAAGAGCAAGAAGCCCGAGCCGAGCATCAAAAGGATGGCAGAGAGGCTACTAGGAGAATGGAGTCGTCCCATTCTGAAGAGGACGGATGATTACAAGAAGCGGCATGTTGAAACACGCGAATTTGACTACCAGTACGTTTTCTTTTTCTTTCGCTCGACGTGTAGAGGGCTGTGCTGGAACATATTGACTTCTCTCACTGGCCTGGTCAATGGAGCACATTTGCTGACATGATCTTTCAGCGCCGCGAAGCTGCAACAGCGGCAAAAGGCTGGCTCACAGTTCAGCCTCACGCAGCGCCCAGCGCAATCGGCGGCTGAGGTGGAGAGGGAGAGGTTGCTGGCGCCGACGCGAGCCAACAATGAGGCCCGCATGGCCAGCTTGCCGTCAAGCTACACGATTGCGCCAATGAGTACATTTGACGGTAATCGGGCCAACGACCACCGACCATTGGGCGCAAGCGGCATGGAAGCGTTCCGGAAAATGACACAAAAGAGCAAGAAGCGGGCGTGAAGGCGAGAGTATGTGGGTGCACAGGGATCTGCTACCTGCCGTTGATCTGGGTGTGATGCAGCCGTCTACAAGGGGGTAATAAAGTATGCTGCAGGCAAGCGGAAGAAGAACAGAGTAGTCTGGGACATTGGCGTTGGGATTGGACAAATATAATCTGCTTTTGGACTTACACTCGTGCTATATTGAACTGATGATGTAACAGAGCTGTGATTGCCGGAGTTGACTGGTACGTATCACTGGAGAGAGGCGAGTCGATGGTGTTACAGTGCAACGAACAGCTGTATAAGTCATAGTTGGAATCCTGTTTGCTCGCACTGAGATTAATGCAAAGTCTTTTGCCAGTTGACGTGACGGTACAGAATTCCATTACATGCAACGTGGTTGGGGAATTGGTTTAAGTGGTAGAAATGGGTTTCTTGCTTGTTGTGGAAATGCCAAGATGCAACCAGGCGGGTTATCAGAGGTCTTGCCAGACATGGTTTGCTCAATGCTTCGGCCCCCAAGCAACACAGAGTCCGCCGTGATTGGGCTGTGCGCGCCTCGCAATGCCTCACATGCAGGTGCCCGGCTTCCGGGTAGGGGCTCTCGCTATAAACAACGGCGCAGGCGTTGAGTCTTTACTCCAGAAGTATCTGTGACGAGAAATCCTCCCCTATCCAGTCGAGCGGTATGACATTGAATGAAGCCTGACATGATGTATTATAGTAATTATTATTATTTTCTTTTTTTTCGTTCTATTTTTTTCTCTTTTGTGTAACGACGGCTCCTTTTGATACTTCGACTTGGCTGAGCTCTGCTGCGATTGCTGCGAACACTGTACATGGGCCTACATACCTACCTACCTAGGTACCTAGGTACCGCACCATAGCGGTCGCTGGTAAGTCGGCAAGCGTCGCCGCACTGCAAGGCATTTCAATTAGCACTTTCGGGGAATTGAGCATCTCCACTCTTTTCCTTTAGTACCACCCAGACACCCAGATTACCAGTCCATTCAACGCCAGCCCAGGGCCGTGGTTGCGTAGGTGGGTAGCTCCGCTTCCCTGTCGCTCGCTGCATGAAATTTGGAAGTGGCTTCTGGACCCGATTTCTCGCTCGCCTCACTGTTCGACGGGCATCGTTTTTTCTTCTCGCTAACCACCGTTTGTGTTTGTTTGCCGCCATCTCTTTCTCCTTTGGATAATACACGTTACAAAACCCTGCCGCGCCCATCGCTGTACAGTTTACAGCATCAGCTACAAATTCTACCAGAATCAGCAAGGTACGTTGAGAATAAACGTGCGCCCCTCCCATCTGCCTGGGACACCCCGCGCACCGCCTCGCTGCTCCTAGATCGCTGTGAGGCGCCAAGCTGTGCCCATCGTTGCATGCATGGTATGCCTTTGGCCCTTGGATCCCTGCCCGATGCTGTCGCTGCATTTATCTGCTGCACCATGCGAGAGATGCTAGCGGTCATGTTGGGTTTCGGTGCGTCAAATAGGTCACAACTGGTCACAACGGCTTTGTCCGCCCCTACTCATTCACCGACTGCTTGGGTCCGAAGCGACTGTGGTGGAAACAAGTGATAACCCACTCGTTTCTTCTTGTTCGTTAGGCATCGCGTTGGGCCGTGCCAATTACGCGCCGTCGCTAAGGAACCCGTGGGCAACCAGTTTGGGCGTCGCAAGCATCTGACACATGGCTATCTGTCTAGTGAGGTAATCGGCTGACCCCAGATCTTTTGTCACAGACACCGACTGCTATTAGACTTGGGCCTCTTGCTTCCCGCATCATCCTTATCGGCACGCAAAATAGACATTCTGAATTTTAGAGCAGCCCTTCTCCATTACGCGACTCTGCCCATTCTCGACCCGACCGACGGCAACGAGGGCTTTCGCATCGAGTTGTGCGCAAATTTCCCCGAATGGGCCAGTCGCCACGCATCCCCGCGAGTCGCAAGCCACGTCCTAGACTTTAGACCTTTGCGATTGACGATTCTCCGACCACAGGCGAATACGAATCAATCAGTGCAACACCACTGCTAGCTCGAGAGTTGCGCGACAACAAGATGAATGGCAGTGAATCTCCATCAGGGGCCAAGCCACCGCTGGTGTCGGGTGGCCTTTCCAACGGCGACAGCGTTGCGGCCAGGAAGCGCAAGAAGGATGGGCTGGCGCCGATTTTAACGCAGAGCCCGGAGTCGGCAGACAAGACTGGGTAGGTGTTTGTTTGTGCATTTTTCATTTCCGCGTTTGAACTTCACTCTCTAGGTTGCGCCAAGTGGCCGCGGCACACATCGAGTTCGGCGTATGCTATGGGCAAGGTTTCTTGTCCATGAACCAGACCTACGGGCCCCAGCATTAACTCGGCATCGAGACGATTAATACTTTTTGGACGATTGGGGTATGACGATCTCGGCCGAATACGCCATGGAACGCGACATGTGCCGACCTAGCAAAAAAGGAGCAAATGATTGCATCAAAGGAAAGCTGGACAAGGTGACAGGGCAGCAGGATGACGCATGACCTCATGCATGGGGCATAAACAATTCAAGTCTGCGAAGCGGGCAAGCTGCGCAAAACAGTTTGCGCCGAACGAAGAATGGGTGGGCGTGGTTGGTGGGACGATGCATGCGGCCGAGCAAGCGGCCCGCTAAGAAGGGCCGTGAACAAGTCTTGCAGAGCAGCGAAGACGGGCACCAGGCAATGGATAATAGCTGGCCAAACGGGCTGATGCGAGAAGAAATGGCGTCTTCTTTCCTGGTGCGATGTGGTGAGGAAGCTTGGCCGGTGCTAAGCTACAGCCTACTCAGTACAGGGCCGAAGTGGCAGTGAAGCAGGAAGCGGACGAGAGTGTCAGGCATTGACATCTCGCAGGGGTTCAGAGGTTTAGAGACTGGGCAAACGTCCAGGTCACCTTGGCCTTTCCAAGAACAGAGTTGGTGCACTTTTCAGTGGCTCAGCGGCCCGTGTGCGTCGTGGCGAAAAGATTATTCTGTTGGAGCCTCAGCCAGGTACCTGCAGCGCGTGCTGGTAGCGCTGCCATGGCTAGCTGGCACAGGCCCTTGCGCTCGACTGTGGCCTGGCCGCCTTGGGCAAACTTTGGCATGCGCTAGCACTCACTGGTCTTGCAACCCGCAACAAATAAGCTACGAGGCCGAGACGCTGTTTTTGGCTGCCGAAGCTGTCTCTTTCGCTCCCTCCGTCATTCTTTTGCAGGTTTTGACTCTGCTGCTACCACCAAGCTCCGCATCTGCTCTGCAGATTGGCTGGCGCCGCCGCGGGCTTTCACCTGCAACATCATCGTCTCGCATCATCGCGCCTCTCTGTCGTCCTGTTCAAGCAAAAGGCCTCATCACCGCAACAGACCACCTGCCTACCTACCTAGGTAGCTACCTATCTACCTACCTACCTAGCTACTCAGGTACACCACACATCAGCCGCCAGCCCCCCTGCGCTCATCAGCCCCGCGAACAGTAACCCGCATCCGCATCCGCACCAGGACAGGACCAGCGCACCACACCAAGGCACCCCTCCTGCAGCGCAACCCGACTCGAGGACAAGACTCGATTTTGCTTTGATCTCCATCTTCGGTCTCGCGCCTCAATTCTGCTCGCGCCTCTACCGCTTCGCTCCCTCTTCTCTCCCTTGCCCGCTCAGAGCTGCGCAATGTTGACAAGATGAGCACCTTTATCAAGTCCAGGTTGCACCCCTCCTGCTGCTGACCCCCGGCCGCCGCCATCACCGCTGTTCCCAGCCCGTCGTTAGCCCGCACGGCACACCCTTCCCGCTCGTGATTATGCCGCGGTCGCATTGTCTTTATATTTCCGCATGCGCTGCTTGGCCGCCCTGTCAGATAGATTCCTTCGCGCTTTTCTTCTACATTCTGTCGTCATTTTTGTTCATTACCTTGTTTTGAGACTTCTCTGCCCCTCCCCCTCTCCTGCGCTTGCGTCTGTCAACAGCATCATCGCTCTGCCCAAACAAAATTCGCTAACTCGCCTGTCTTGGATGCAGAACTCAACAGCTCGCTTCCGCCGTCACAGGTTCGCCCTCGTCCTCTTCCGCCGATGAGCCCGCCGAGAATACAGCCGACGAAGAGGATTCGGAAGACTACTGCAAGGGCGGCTATCACCCTGTCCAGGTCGGCGAGAACTTCAAGGATGGAAAGTACACCGTCGTCCGCAAGCTCGGATGGGGTCACTTCTCTACTGTCTGGCTCTCCCGCGACAATAATTCGGGCAAGCACGTTGCACTCAAGGTCGTCCGCTCCGCCGCCCACTACACCGAGACCGCCATCGATGAGATTAAGCTTCTCAACCGCATCGTCCAAGCCCAGCCCGACCATCCCGGCCGTAAGCACGTTGTCAGCCTGCTCGACTCCTTTGAGCACAAGGGGCCTAACGGCACTCATGTATGCATGGTATTTGAGGTTCTCGGAGAGAACCTTCTGGGTCTGATCAAGCGCTGGAATCACCGCGGCATCCCCATGCCCCTTGTCAAACAAATCACTAAACAGGTCTTGCTTGGCCTCGACTATCTTCACCGCCATTGTGGCATCATTCACACCGATCTCAAACCTGAAAACGTCTTGATCGAAATCGGTGACGTGGAACAAATCGTTAAAAAAGTGGTCAAGAATGACACCGGCGACAAGGAAAACAATAGAAACGGCCGCCGCCGCCGGAGGACTCTCATTACCGGCAGTCAGCCTCTTCCATCACCCCTCAATTCGTCGTTTAATCACTCGAATTTGTTTCCGTCAGCCACGTCGCAGGCGAGTCTCGGCGAGATGCTAGAAGGTACTACTGAGTTTTTTGGTTCATGGCGAAAGAATACTAACGTATGATAGATGCCAAAAAGAAGGACTCTTCCCCCAAGGACGACCAATCACAAACAGACAAGACTGCGTAAGTGCACATACACACATCTACACATATAGAGGGAGGGAGTGAGAGTCAGACTAGAAGATGCACACACACAACACACACCACCCCTTCAAGTCGACACATTTATTAACACGACTAGTGATATGCTCACTCGCGAAGTCTCGAGCATCTCTCTCGACAAGTCCCCTACCGCCGCCACTGGTGAAAAGCGCAAGGCTGAGGACGCACATGCTTCGGACATTATCAGTGTCAAGATTGCTGACCTTGGCAACGCCTGCTGGGTCAACCATCATTTTACAGACGACATCCAGACGCGACAGTACAGATCTCCTGAAGTCATCCTCGGTGCTAAGTGGGGAGCCAGTACCGACGTCTGGAGCATGGCTGCCATGGTAAGTCCCCAAGCCTAAAGATCTGGCTATGACAGGCGAAGCAATTTCGACTCCGTTAAGTCTTGTCAGATCTGCGTGAAGCAGTGCTAATTGTTCAGATTTTTGAACTCATCACTGGCGACTACCTGTTTGACCCGCAATCCGGCACCAAATACGGAAAAGACGACGACCACGTCGCCCAAATTATTGAGCTGCTCGGTCCATTTCCCCGTACATGCCTCACTGGAAAATGGGCGCAAGAAATTTTCAACCGCCGCGGCGAGCTGCGCAACATTCACCGGCTGCGCCACTGGGCTCTTCCCGACGTGTTGCGCGAGAAGTATCACTTCAAAGAGGACGAGGCAAAGCGCATCTCAGCTTTTCTCAGTCCAATGCTCGAGCTCATTCCGGACAAGCGCGCCAACGCAGGCGGGATGGCCGCGCACAGCTGGCTAGAGGATACGGCCGGCATGAAGGGCATCAAGGTTGATGGACTCAAAGTCGGCAGCAAAGGCGAGGATATAGAGGGCTGGTCCACGCAGTCCAGGAAACGCGCAGCATGATAATTGACTTTTGATGCCTTTAGATGCCTGATTTTGCATGAACATTGTAGGGCGCCCTCTTTCTACGCCTTTTGAACTTGTCTGCCTGTTTGGTTGGGTATTCGCGTGTGCGAGCTGATGTGAGATGGTTGCAAAGATGCAATTTGGGACAAGGACACAAAGACGCCCCGAAACAACATTAGTATTTGTAAGGGAATGAGCATAGATGAGACGCTGTAACGAGACATGTCAGACGTCATGTGTGCATCGATGCGGGGCGTGAGCATTGAGGAGAGCGGTACAGCGGCCTGCAGTCGAGTGGATGTAAATCACACTTGGAAGCGCAGAAATATTGATTTTTTTTTTAAAAAAATAGAATGATCTGATTCAAGATGCAATGAAACATACCATCTCCAACGCCCGCCTAGAGTTAATGCTGCTTTCTCTTTTCGACTCTCTTGATAGAACTAACCCACTTCTCCAAATGCTCAGCCGCCAGACTTGCAAAGAAATTACGAAAGAGGAGAAG